TGGTTTCAGAAATGCACTGAGTAGATGCGAGACATTCCAGATGATCACAAGAGTAACCACTGCCCTGCATACATATTCTTTGTGTTCTCCACCACCCTGCAACCGCAAATTATACACACAACAATATCAATCAATATTTCTGTCCGCTTATTTGGTCTACCATCCTGATCTTGCCACGTCAAATGGGACAGACAAGTTTGTCATCCTGATTGCTGCCCCCATCGAGTCATTAAAAATGAACATATGCACAAAGCTCAGTAATAATAATGCAACCTACATTTTCTTGTCTCCAGCCTTGCAAAAGGTAGCCTTGCAGTAGTCAGCCGCATAATGTAGTTGAGACCGCAAATCCTTCAGCTCCTGTAATAACATGATTAACACGAAGGACATAATTAAAGGCATTATATGTAGAGAATGAAAATAATAACACAGAAATTAATGGAGACAGACTTGGAGAGACTTGCAAAATTGAAAATCTTCCTTGGACTGATCGCCGTCTGGTTCTTGGTAATCGGCTGAAGATAATTCAAAGATATGCATTCTCCTTTCGGTTTCGAGTTACAGCTCTACTTGAAGATAATATAAAGGGGGGAAGAGAGGAATGCAAAGCAATGTTAGAAAAAACAAACTGCAAAGATAGTGCAAACCCAGTTGTCTCTTCTCGGTGTGGCTCCTTCTAGTGTCTATTATGCACACATACACATATGCATATTGTGTGTGGGAAATCTGTACTATAGTGGGCAAGTGTTCTTCGCAGAGAGAGAGAGAGAGAGAGAAAGAGAGAGAGAATCTGGGCAAGAACTATGGAGGGCTGCTGATAGTATATATTGTAAATGTGAGTAATTTGAAAAAGACTAAAAGGCATTAAAAAAAAAGATTCTTTGTTAAAACTTTTCTCTCTGAGAAACCACTGGAAAGAGGAGGAAGAAGACAAAAACCAGAATGCAGTCCCGTGATTTTGTGCTTACTGCCTTTTCTCAAAAAAGTGAAGCAGTCACTAGCTGACAGGATGATCTAAGTGCCCACACATTTTTATCATCAAGACAAAGTGGACAGGATAATAGGAAGAGCACAGTTTTAATTTTGAAATCCTTAAATTTATTTATTTTTTAAATTATTCAATGTTAAAACAAGTTAAACAAACATAACCCAAATAATTAAATAAGAATATACTACACTGTTAAACCGCCCATTTCAGGTACTGGGTGTCATAACCTAGAATTCAATTTTTAAGGAATCTTTTTGAGTTATCCACCGCTTTGTGATACTATTTCCTTTGTTTTTGTTAGATTAAACGATGTGATTAGACTTTAGAAAGGAGTTGTAAAAGATTAAACAAGTCCAATCAAACCCTAGTTAAATCATCAATCTTGGGTGGTTACAATATCCTCTCATAAGATGTCTTATTTTGAAGCAAAATTAGCTTGCAATCAATACAAATTAGAACAAAACAAAACTCAGAAAAGGAAAAGTTAAAGCCTAGCAAGATCCTATGGGATCTATGAACATATCACATGGTCAACTTTTTGCTGAGTGCAATTTGTGCCTGAATGAATGGGAATATATTGCAGGACATGTGTATATGCTAGTGCTACTGCCAAAAAGAAGCCAGTTATTTATTAATCATTTCACAAGTATGGATGTTACATAAATGGGACTACTATTTGGATACACTGATTATAGGAAACAAATGCTAAAATCATGCTATGGGAAAAAATATCAACTGTGACCATAATTACTGAAAAAATGTATTTGTTCAGTCCAAGGAAAAGGGTACCGAATAGGTAACAGCTTTGATCCCTAGCAGCAGCATCTGAAAATCTGTATGCTTGCAACAGGGAGGAGCTTGATATATTTGAACGATATATACAGTAAGTTCAGAGGCTTCATATGTGTACAATGAGAATAAACATGTGTTCTTTTCTATAATGTCCCATTTCATATTTGAAAATCAATAACACAGTCACCAATCTTCTCTGCAGCCTCGAGTTCTGATAGCACCGAGCAATTATTTGAAATCATGGGTCCAGTTAAAATATTTTTGAGATTTTGGTACATTTCCCGAGTCTCTTTTGATCCATTTTCAGCCATGCTTGCACTTGATCGATTCGACTTTATGTTGAAATCAGTGGGAGTACTTGGCCCCAAATGTCGCTCAAGAGATTGCAAGTCTACTTTGAAAAGTAAATACATCAACAAATCAGTGGTACCCTTTTAAGTTAATTTGGCTTCAATGCTAAGAAGAACAGAATACTTCATCATACTTCAACATTCATAATTGAAAAAGAAGTTCAAAAATTTATCACTGAGGAATTGTTGGAGGAATAAGCATACGGCTCCCTTGCAAAAATTTTGAACATTCTGCATGACAGCAAGGAAGACAGATTGCAAGGTTGATGTGCATGCGTAGTGAGGGTGAGGGAGAGAGGAATGAAATGTCAGAACCCATGCACATGCCCAGATCCGCACTAAACGCCATTTTCCAAAAGTTCATTATTGGTATAAAGCTAGAATCTAAGAAACCACTCATGAAATATGGGTTGGTTGGACACTCTTTGGCCCTCCTTTGAAAATTGGATGTTCTTATGCATTTGCAAAGAGCTCTGGAGTCATTATAAATGGATGTAACTTCTAACATGCAGTTCAGTGTTTTTATATTTTACAAGATGAATTAAGCTATATGCCAATGCATTAATCACGTAACTTTCATCGTTTAAAAAATTAGTGACTGAAGTTCATTACAACATATTGGACTTCTAAAAAAAATCTAAATATGCAGAAATAACACTGATTTATCCAGAAAGTCTTATCACAGGACTGAAGCAAGTAAATATTGCTGATTCATATATGAAGAAAGATTTATTTTTTTTTTAAAATGTTTACCTTGATGTGCAGCTGGTAAAGTTTGTCTCATTTTTCCTGATTGTGAACGTGCAATGCATAACCATATTCTTTCTGCCTCGTAATCATGTTCAGCTGCAATAGGAATATGCCAATGGCCCTTCTCTGACTCCTGTTGATAAATGAGCGCATATTAATATTTCTATTCCGTAAGCTCACATAATACACATAGCATGCAACATTTGTTTTATCTGTTAATTTTAAATGTACATGAACAGACAGCAAAGCATGCCAATTTGGATTTTTCCTTACCTGGATTACAACAGAATAAGGTGGAGGCATGTGAAACACTGGGCCAGCATCAGAAAAACTGAAATGCACCTTACATTAAGAAAATAAATGCCTTGTTAGCACTATTGCCAACATAACATGTAGGAACCTCAGAAAACTTAAACTAGAAATAATCCGAAACCAAGTTACCTGGATAAGAAAAAGGACGAAAGGATACAACTAGACGATTGACAACCCTTGACAATTAGAATGACAAGTTTGCTTACAATTTTGAACAATTAATGAGGTTTACTTACTTGGTGCCTTTCTTTCCATCTGGGGAAGAAATCATTTCCTAGAAGCTGAAATGTATGGTCTCTCATCTCGTCATTGGTCACAATCAAGCACTTGAACTTTATAGCTGCATATAACCAGTACCTGAAGAACAGGTAGTAACCCATGGCAGTTACTCTTTATTCATCGTGCAATAAATCTTTAGTTAATTTATCAAATGGGACTATATCAATATAAAAAACGAATTGGTGAAAAAGAATCTATAAATGTATCCACTAATAAGGTATTCATTACCAATCATCATTAGATCCAGTGGGGGTCGCATAGAGTGCATCAGCATTTTTCCACTTATCAAATAAGGTCTTGTTTGCTGGTTCATTCATCTTGGGTCCAGTAATACGTTTGTTATGCAAAACAATCAGTGGCCATTTTCTTGAAGGAAGCATCTGGCGCATTCCATTAACAATCGCGTTGACCTAAAGAATGGTAATTAATTACTAAACAAGACGAAAAACTGAAGCCTGTCTGCACTTTAGTCAATTACCTATCATACGTTACCTTAGATGGTTTGAATTTCTTCTGGCTGAAAAGACCTACATTAGCTGCATCTATGACTGCTTCATAGGGTCCATAGTAGTCAAGCCATTTCTGAAAGTATAAGATTTCAATTTCAGACTTCAGCTAATCCGCATACAAGATTAGAATGAACAAACAAGACAAAGGTACTTTTCATACTTGAAATTTTTGAAAACTTCTATTTTTCTCTCTCTTTCTTGCTATAGATGCAACTGATTGAGCAAAATTCTCTGTTTCCAGGGGATCAAGGTCAATCATGGCCAATTTTTCCCCACAGCACTTACAAAATGCATCCCTTCCAATCACTGTTCGTGAAACAACCCACTTACCTTCCCCCAACCACCCCTGCCCATGCCAACCTCCACCTCCATTTTCAATTGCTTCTTTTATCAATCTTGCATCCCATTTTTTCTTTCCCACTCTAGAAGCTACTTCACTCTCAAACCATTTGACAATTATATCTGCAGTAGAGGGTAATACCTTCCTGACAGTTGTTCTCAGTTTATGCAACAAATAATAAACCTTGTCACCTTTACCAGCTTCTACACTTAATTTAAGGAGTGCCTCTATTTCATGCTCTTCAGGATGGATACCATGTGCCAACATGTGCTTTTCAACAGCAAATGCTTTATCAATATCTCCACTAGTGCAAAAAGCAGATAATGCAGGACTGTACGACCGCAATCTAGGAGTTATTCCCAGAGATTCCATTAGCTTCACCATATCAAATGCCATATCACCATTACCAGTTGACACTGCCATTCTAGCTACAGCTGTCAAGATTGCTTCATTCATTGGGACACCATCGAGGCGCATCTTCTTGTAGATTTCAAATCCCCTGTGCAAAGCATACTTTTTGATATCTTCAGTTACTAGAATTTCATGATCTTGAGTAATACCACTCATATGCTTCTGATTTGAATGGTCCCCAATACCCATTTTCCCCCATAGTTGAGAGTTTGGCTTCATAGATCCATTAGGAAACTGTATTAAGTTCTCCTCTTCCTTGCAATTATTACCTAAATTTTCAAATCTAACACCAGAACTCGCCATTTTATCAATATCTTCAAAATGTCCACCATCAGTACCAACCAATTGTTCATTGTTTGAAAAATTAATATTAAGTTCTGTATGACTAGCATTTCCATTACTCCTATCCATTGATTCTCCCAACTCAATGGCATTTACTCTATAACTTTCATTAGACAAGCTTAATGTATTCAAAGTTCGACTAATACTCCCACTTTTAGCAGGTTGAACAACACCAGCAGCAGCAGAGGAACAAAGATACAGAATCACACTGTAGTGGTACTGCTCTAACTTTATTTCTTCTTTCAGAGCCTTATCATACAATTGAATTGCACTCGTAACATCTCCTCTCTTTGAACACATATCCAACTCGACTCTCAACTTAAATCCTGGTGAGTCAGCCTTGTTCTTCTTAGGCTGCTTCCTCACATTTTTTTCTGATATCTTTTTCTCACTAGTATTTTTGGTTCCCTTATCTACTTTTTGGTTAACACCACTCTCTTTGCTTCTCTTATCTGTTTTCCCATTTTCTGCTAAACTATCCGCATCTTTTAAAGGTTTAATTACTGTTTTTTGACCTTTCGACCTCAAAGAAGAATTCCCAGTATCCATCTCCCTCCTTTGTCGAAAACCCAATTTCCTCCTGCCATTTTTATCTTTTGTAAACCTCTTTTCAACTCTTTCCTTTTCCTCTAGCTTTAAACTCAAAAGGGTTTCAAGAGAATTTTCATCTGTTCTCTCATTCATAGACTGTAAAGAAGTAGTTTGTCTTTCAGGTCTCAAATTCATGTTTTCTGTTGACACCTCATGTACAGTGGTGGACGATCTTGCATGGCAATAGCCACCATGTACTCTATCTACTAGAAGGTAAGAGTGTTTTGGCTTGAGCGTGCGTTTGGCGGGTGAGAAATTTGAGAGAAAATGAGATAAATGAGGGAACTTAAAAGTATTAAGAGGTGATGGGTACTTACAGAGGGTGAAAGAGAAGACTTGTTTTTGCTGATGCAGGGTACTGAAAGTGAAGGAGGCCATTTGTGGCCGTTGAAAGAGCGCCTTTACTCTTTCATGATATGGGCATGGCCGAAAAATTCATTAAATAAAACAATGGGAAAACTGAGCGGTGACGATTGGTTCAAATTACGAAATTACCCTATACGTTTCTACATTGTCATACCAATACCCTCGCACGTGCGACAATTGATGTTGATAATGGATTCACACGTGACAGGGAAAATGTATTTCCATGGTTATCCTATATAGAAACAATAGAAAGGTCGGAATATTTTTCCACACTTATATTGAGATAGAAACGCCATATAGAAAATATAAGGTGAAGATTAATTACAGAAAGTATTTGAAATCTCACTTATCCTATGCTTTATATATCATATAATTTAATTAATTTTTCTAATTAAGATAACTTGAAAGAAATGGCAGATGATCATTTTTTTATTGGAATTAAAATCAGTATTTTTTTATTATAATCAGAGTTTTTTAAATGAAATATTCGATTTTAATATAAATATTATTTTTGAAAGTAAATATATCATTAAAACTTTAATAAAGTATGAAATGTTTATTCTAACTATATATAATATGTTAAATAAAATAAGATTCCTCTTTAGTTCTCACTTCAATTTTCTCCTAGACAACTTAGAATTAAAAAGTTATTTTAAATTATTTCACATTTCTGTTTTTTCTTTTTGTTATTAACCATACTTATCACAATTTTTGAATAACAGTATTTATTATTATTATTATTATTTGAAAAAATTACATGATATTTTCTTTTTTCCATAAAAAAATAAAAATAATAAGTTATTATTAATTGTGAATATATATTTTATAAAGATATAATTTTAGATATTATCTATTCAAATTTAAAAATATAAATACAAAATTAATATGATATTATATTATTAATTATCTATTAAAATTTTAAAATATAAAAATAAAATCTAATTTTTAGTGTCAATAGTACTCTCAATAATTTTTATAATATATATAATGATTATTTACTTAAATTTTAATTAATTATAATAATATGTAATTAATTTCTAAAATTATAATATATATATCACAAAATAAAAATTTTTTATATCAAAAAATAATTGATCATAGAAGATGGAAATGACACGTTAATTGCAAAATTGGCAGTCAATCCAAGTGATTCATCTAATTTAAATTACTTCACCGAGTTTAGCCCAGCGAGTATTTAGCCTGGTGAGTTTCTCCGAACGCCTAAGACGAGGATTTCAACAAATGCCATGGGTGGAAACAATATGAACATGAAATCAGCAGTTTCGCCTAAAAGGAAATGGGTCAATAACAAAAACCAGAATCATCAGCATTCTTAAGTTGCCAAAAACAAAAAAAAAAAAAACACCTCCTTCCTTTTTCACATGGCGGAGTTTTGCAGTGTCTGATGCTTGAACCTTCACTGTAAGGCCAAAAGCCATCCAGGCAACACGACTTTTCTCACTTCATGTAAAATAAACAATATCCATTCAGCCTCCTGGACTTAGGAATCAACAGGAAAGGGGGAAAAAAATTTAACATTGGAGCAGAAGGATTGAAGGCACTAGTCAATTATGAATGTGGCAAATGTTTTATGCCTCTCAGCAATACCAGATAAACAAAAAAACATTTATGCCTTCCAAGCATTCAACCAAAATAAAAAGTAAATGACAGGCATGAAGTCTACATTCCTATCCATCTTCCTTGGGAAACTTGCTGCAAACCGGAAACTATCATCATAAAGGCATTGAAATCCCTGAAATGCAGAAAAGAGAAATACCAAAATAGGCAAGTTATATATGAGTGATGTGCAGTATCATATGAACTATAAACATTATAGAAAACTAAAGCCTAAGAACATCATATCACGACATAATTTGCTCGCACTTTATTTTCGTTTTATTTTCTACAGTCTCCCTCTGCCACTTAAAGTTTTAACAAAGTGGCGTATGGAAATTAAGTTCAGGCCTTGAATCTATTTCAAAAATATCACTTCACATTAAAGACCTAGATAAAAGCATTTATATCTTACAGATTCCACTCATCCATTTCAACAAGCTTGCAGAACAGATTTAAGAAGAGCACACAGCACAGCAGCCAATATCTATCCTCTCAAATCTGCCTTAAGAAAAAATGTGTAGGTGGTTCATCTACTTTCAAGGATGGAGCTATACTATGGGTATTGGAAGTAGCTGCCCTCATGAGAATTTTAAATCAAATCAAATTGTCTATAAAGATCACTCATTTTTTTTAATTATTTTAATAAATTTGCACTCACTAGAAAGAAAAAAAATTTAAGAGACATGAATCTTGTACTACATATTAAAATATGACTAGTTTATGGAAACTGAAATAATTCTACAATCTTATTGATTGAAAATTAATAAAATGTATGAATTAATGTATAAATTTTGAAACAAAAATTATTATTACAATTAGAAAATCTTCTTTAATAAATTAGCCCCATGGTAAAACTTTATTGATCCATCCCTATTCACATGTTTTTGGGAGAAAAAGTAGATTTAAAAAAGACACCAGGGGCAGCCAGCCATATACAAGAGAAACTTTACATCTTCACGGAAGATGATAATATGATTCTAAGGTTCTTAATCTTCCCAAGGTTAGTTTGGGAAAAGAAAATTCAGATGATAGTAAAATTCATTTTTAAATTCATATTTAGTTTTAAATAGGTGTTGTAAATTCTTAGGATAACAAAAAAAAAAAAGAGTATATATGAAATATCATGAGAAATTGAAAAAATACAGTCAAAATTCTGTCAAAATTGATTTAATTTAGAACATATTATTACAATACCACACAGAATTTTACCTCTCAAAAGAAGGAAAAAAAACACAGAATTTCATACTTAACTTTATTATCCATAAGTTTTATAATCTTTTGTTAAAATAAATGAGAATTGAGAATGTCCAAAGAGTTCCTATATCAAGTAATAAATAGTCACTCTCTAGGCCTGGCAATTGGCTTTGGTCTCCAAGTCCACAGTGGTCATACCTAGTGTTAGTTCAGGTTTGATTATTGGAGATCCTCTTTGTTGGAATGTAACTTTAATTAATACGCTGCTTATTCCCTGTGATACTGAACAAAGTTTGCAAGGTACATTTAAGTAGGACACTCCTGCTACATAAGTTAATCTTTACAGGTAGTAAAGATAGAGTTTTCTCCGATAAGGTTGGCTTATTATATTGCATGAGCTCAAAAAGTTCCTCCAAAAGAAAAATATTTTCATTGGTGGTTTTGCAAAGAAATATTGCCTATTAAGACTCAATTAATCATGATAAGTATGAATATTGATCCAATTTGCTCCATGTGTGGGAGGATGAGGCAGACACTGACTACCTTTTTTAATGGTATTCTTTTGCTTCCACTATTTGGCGTTTGAGTCTGTTAGGATGGATGGTCTTGAGTTGCAAGATATAAATATTCTGGTCATGTTTAATTTTTTGTTAAATGTAAGTTTATCATTTTGGTAGGGGCAGGATTATGATGCTTATGTGGGGTATTTGGTGTACTTGAAATGAGTGAATCAGTGCAAAGTAGGATAACTGAGTTGCATGAAACTGTTTAAGCTCTTGGCAATACCTGAGAATTCTGGTCATGTTCAATACCCGAGTTGTACGAAACTGTTTAAGCTGTTTGATTGAGTTGCATGAAATTGTCAATTTCTGGTCATGTTCAATGCCTGAGAATTCTAGGGTGGGTCCAAGCTCTTGGCACACACCTTTGATTGGATTTTATAAAATTTACTTTTTTTAAGATAAAGAATAAGAAGAAGAAGAAGTGTAGCGATTTGTTCGAGGCCAGGATCAAAATAGATTTTTGACAGGCACGGAGAATCGCTTTTCGTTATTGCCAACCTTCAATGCAAATCGCGCCATTTCGATTTGACACCCTTGCTCTGCAAATTGGCTTTCTCTTTGTTTCTCTTCAGCCAAACACAGAAATTGATTTTAAAAGGAGGACAAAAAATCAATGATGAGACATTAAAAAAGAAAAAATTAAGGAAACAAAAGCAAAAGGGCATTAATTCAGAGAGAGTAAAAATTCTACGGATTTTATAAAAGTAATACGGATACTAGTTTCAATAACTCAGGATGTGTTTGGTTGAGGTTGATATCAAAGTCGCTTTTGATAGTAGCATTTGTTGGGATGAGGCAAATTCCTCATCAGAGTCAGTTGAGGTAGCTAAAACCACCCCATTACTTTATGAGTTAGAGGTGGCACTTTCCTTGAGTAGGCTAGATACAATTATTGAGGATAATGCTCAAAACGTTTCTAAATTTAGTTTGTTTTCTTTTGATAATTTTTCAAAATCTGATATGTTATTAGAGGATGTTAGAAGCTCTTTCCCTTATTTTAGTTATGTCTTTTGTTTATGGATTCCTAAATTTTGTAAACAGATGACAGATATCTTAGCTAAGAAGGCTTTACATGTCTCTAATGACTTTTGGTTAGGAGGGAACTCATCTTTTGGCTCCTCATTTTGCAGGATGGTTGTCCACATGCTTATTGTTGCATGATATGGTCATTTCTCCAAAAAAAAAAAGTGAATTTGCAAATAAATTCCTTGCTAATTTTGGATTTCTTCCAAACAGAGCCTAAGTCTTCTCCATGATGAGACAACAATCTTGGATGATTGGAGGGATTCTAGTAGACTGTCCAGTATCCTAGAATTTAAATGTGTTGATCTACCAATCAAATATTTGGGATTTCCACTAGGGACAAAGTATAAGGAGACTAGGGATCCTGTGGTGGTGAGATTCGAACAACATTTGGCTGGGTTGAAGAAAAACTTATTATCTAAGAGGGAGAGATTCACTATTACAAAAAGCACAACGACTAACATCCCTATATATTACATGTCTTTGATGAGGTACCTGGTATTGTGGCTAAAAGATTGAGAACTATCCAATGCAGATTTTATAAGGAAACTCTAAGGCTTAGAGGAAGTACCATCTTGTGACTTGGAATGAGATCAAAAAGCTAATATATCATGGAGGGTTGGGGTTGCGGTCGTTGGGGGAGGTTATATGACTCTTCAAGGGAAACTACTTTGGTGGTTCATGAATGAGAATAGTAGCCTTCACTGGAGAGCCATTAATGTCGAGTTTGACACAATGGATAGAGGTTGGTTCACTAGAGACTTGTCTAGGCTCTATGGTAATGAGATGTGGAAGAAACTTTGCAAGGGTAGAGGGGAGTTCCAAAATTGTTGGGCATTGGTGACCGGGTTAGTTTGTGGCATGATGAACGGCTGGATGGTCGTGCACTTAAATTCCAGTTCCCCTGGATCTATGTTATCACACAACTTAAGGAGGCTTCAACTTAGGATTCCTTCCTTGGTACTACAAGAAATGGTGAGTGGTTCGTGGATGTCATGAGGAACCTCAATGATTAGGAAGTCAAGGAGTATGAGAGACTTCTTCTTGCCCTCTCTAGGGTTAGGTTTGATGGCGTTGAGGATTACCCCATTTAGAAGCTCAATGCTAGAGAAATTTTCTCTGTTAGATCGTTCTACAACTACTTGGTAAGAGAGGAGTTATGGGCAATGAATTTCTTTTTAAGCAAATTTGGAAAGTCAATGCATCTCCCATAATAGTTGTTTTTGCTTAGAAGGAAACAAGAAGATGCATTTTAACATCGGACAAGCTGATCAAGAGAGATAGGATTACGGTGAATGGTTGTTTTCTCTGCAAAAAAGATGGTGAGTTGTGTAACTATATCCTCTTGTAGTGCCCATTCGTCTGTAGATTTTGGACCCTTGCTTATAGCCTCTTGGGAATTAATTGGGTGATGGTTGGCTCGGTGAGAGAAGAAATTTGGCATGGAAGGGGATCAGTGAGTGAAAAAGCATGTTGGCCTTTAAACTTATAACTTTCTGGGTGACGTGGAAAGAAAAGAACGGGCGAGCTTTTGAGGGTAATGAAGCTAACTTTGACTGGATTAAGGAAATTTGGTTCCAAGCCCTATGTTATTTGATTAAGGAGGTCATCCTCTTTATTCTTGTCAGGATCTTGAGAATCTTATATACATTTTGGTGACATGTAAATATTTTTTGCATATGAGTTTGCACCCCCTTAATGTTTGTGAATGAATACCACTTTATCTAAAAGAAAAAAGATCTTGAAACAAAACATACAAGGTCTGGAGTAAATATGATGCATACACATTCCATCTCAAAGTTATGCACAACACATTTAATTTGAGCATTAACAGCATTCATAAACTCTACTAGGATTTCAGATTGAAGAGGTATTAACAATGAACAAATGGATACTTTAAAGTTCCACAGCAAATAGGCAGGTAATTTCACCAAATATGAAGCTCTATTAACTAGAAAACTACAAATTCAAGCTCATCAATGGGATACGTTTTTGTCCCACAGAAAACACCTTCAAATTGAACATGATAAAGGATGGAAGCAAAATGAGTCTGAGACTATGTATAGACCCAATTAAGAGATAGATCTAGACCAGTGCATTTCAAAAGGCTCTCAGACAAACGCCAAAACTTCCTACAATATCACACTAGGTGATTTGATCTTCATGTTCTTAGTGGGAATATAGGAAAAAATATATCACTTTGACAGCACATAATCTAACTAGATGAATTATTTTGTACAATGGATAATATTGATATGTGATTTTTTTTATTATTACTGATAGAGTCATGAATAGATCTATAAATTATATTAGTAATTTCTACCTTAGCATATGCACATTGCACAAAATGATTTCTCAAGGCAATTAAGCCTAAATATCGACCATCTTTACTGTTAATAGATA